TATGCGGCGGTGATTGCGGCGCAGGTGGGGGGACGGGAAGTCCGTCGGCGTTGCCGGGGGCCCAAGGAAGCGCGAGGGAAAAATTCCGCCGCTGAGGGCGCTCGTGCGGCAATAGCCGGGTGGAGGGGGGAGCGTGCCGGACGGGGCGTCGTCGCGCCGTCCGATGGTCTGCTGCCCCGCGCAGCAACCGTTGGGCGACGACCCGGGGGCCAAAAACCCGGCGACGACGGCGCTCTGGATGGGGCGTGACCTCCTGCCTCCAACCTCCTTCCTTTTTGAGCAGGTGTGACGCCGCGCGAGCGACGCTCCGAGATCGCCCGAGATACCATCGGGAGGACGACCCCGGCTAGTCGCCGACCACACCCACAAAGAACCCTGCACAAAGACCGCAGGGCGGGGACCTGTTCCTTTTTACCCATCTCCTAGTAGAGGTGTCCGTTTTATTTATTTATTTATGTACTGTGTATCGAAGCGATGCACTCGTTTCCGTTGGCGTTGCCCTTCGTTCGAGCTTGACACAGAGCTCAGCGCGCCCCGCAAAACAGGAAGAGCCGTCCGGCAAGAAGATCTCGATAGGGAGCGAGAACCATTAGAGGTGCTCCGAGAGGTATCAAGACGTGTGAGTGTTAGAGTTGTTTGGTATTGCTAAAAATCTCTCTCAAGACTCCGTCATGACGCGGTAAGATCACTCCAAAAATGACCGCGCAGATGTCGGATCTCGTTGAGATATCTTGCAAAATCTGCTCTTCCCGAGCCGGCAGCACGCAGAGAGTCGCAGAAAGGCTACGAGTGCTCGACGCTAGTCCTTCGTCGAAGGGCATGGGAAAAGAAACCCCCGTGCCTTGCACGCGCACGGGGCTCTGCCTGCCATGGGCATCTCGCGCGACTCGCAGCACAAGCGGCGGCTGACGGGCGGCAAGAAGCCGCACCACCACAAGAAGCGCAAGCATGAGATGGGCCGCCAGATGGCGATGACCAAGATTGGCGCGAAGCGCATCCACCCTGTGCGCTGCCGCGGCGGCAACATGAAGTTCCGCGGCATCCGGCTGGACACGGGGAACTTCTCGTGGGGGTCGGAGGTGTGCACGCGGAAGACGCGCATCCTCGACGTCGTCTACAACGCCTCCAACAACGAGCTTGTGCGCACAAAGACGCTTGTCAAGAGCGCTGTGGTGCAGATTGACGCGACGTGCGGCCGCCCCCCGCCCCCTTCCCCATGCCCCGCACGCCCCGCCGCGCTACCACCGCGCGCAGTGGCGCCGAGGCGAGGCCTGGTCGGCGGGTTGGCAAAGGGCTCCCGGCGGGCCGAGCGGGCGGCGGGGGCGCGTGCGGATCAAGGACAGATGGATGTTGGGAGGGGCAGATGGGGTGGGGACCTGCTCCCC